GCTTGCCTTGGACAACCGTCCACGATCTAACTAGATGTCTGTGGTACTGATGCACCGATAAATGGCTTCTCTATTTCCGAGGCTGCTCAAAATGCGGGAGAGTACGTGGGGTTGTTCTGTTCTTAAACGTGGAATTGCTCATCCCAAGTGTCCTCTCCGGCACCACACCTGCATCCATTGTAGTGCCCATTGGATCCAAATCTGCTGCGTGGAACCGATTCTGTTCTGGGCGACGTCTACCGTTGCCGATCAAAACCATCCAAAAATGACCACTTCCTCAAACAAACATTTGGGCAACTATCCTCTATCACTTTACGCACTCCTTGCTGATGCATCTTTTAGTGCATATAAAGCCTCCCGGATGGAGTTTCAACGTATCCGGCCTAGTAGTGGTTTTCCAGTGACGCTGTTCAAAGGCGATCAACGTGACGCCTGGACCCAAAATGTCACCGCACCCACTAGATATTACGCAGGCCAACTACAATTGCCACTTGATTTGGTTATCCCCAACGAAAGACATTTACTTGATCATGTATAAATTATGATTATACTTGGGCATGGTGACCACTGACATCTTATTTCATCTGCCATTGGGCCCGGAACGCGGAACCTGAAACGTGGGTTCGAAACCTCTGTCCGGAAAACAGTTGAGAAGTGTATCTTTCTTGCCCAACTCAAACTAGGCCAGCTTCGGTGGGGGAGACATGCGGGACGACTAACCAAAAAACTAAAGAGGTTGACGCGGTGTTCGTCCCGAGGGAACCAGCTGGCAGGGTTGAAAGCAACTTACATGGATTACGGGCCTTCCGGAAACGATGTTTCAAAGAATTTCTCAGATGAACTAACTGCAGGAAACGTAGAAGATGGACTGGCATTTTTTAAAATGCGGAACCACTGTAAACCAGAAATCCTATTATGGACCATAAGAAAACGGGTTACGGTGCTGAACTCACCTGAAGAAATAAGTGTACGTGAAACACTACTGAAACACACCACATTTCTTCTCCTTGTGGGACAGGAATATGGAACCTACGAGCGACCCAACAGTTGTATTCAAAGGCTACACAGGACACTGCTGAGACCTGTATTCTGCCTAGCTACCTCATAGAATTCAATGTTGGCAATAAGTAAGCAACAACGGCCTCTAGCAGACTTCGTCATCAAGGAAGAGGATGGTCAAAAGCTTTTGCATAAGACGAAACCCCTTGGCGTTTTGGGGACATGTAAGACCCATCCAAGGATCCGAAAGCAAACGTCGCTCACAACGGCAAACTATTTCTGCCCGGTATCCCGTCTGTTGCTCCACGGAGGTAGTCTTCCATCGCCTTCGAAGAAAGCGCTTGCCGCTCCAGTGTACAGAACTGGTTACCACATATCGCCCGACTACTGCAGGCCTAGTAGTTTTACCAGTGATGTGATGGAACGTATTCTGAAACGGGCCATCTCAAATAACGTCACCACCACCAATTGATATCCATAGTGCAATACGGATTCCCCCCAAACCGTTCATGCGTAACCAACATGTTCTTATCAACGGAAGTTTAAACCAAGCTAAGGACGAAGGTCTCACAGCGGTTGCCATATTTTTCGACTACTCAAAGGAATTCATTCTAGTCCTTCACGTCCTGCTGTTCAATGAGCTCGAGTTTCACGGGTATCAAGGGAAATTCTGTACTGGTTGAGGCGTTCCTATCATTCTGACGTTCCGGTTCCTCAATTCGCACCGTTTACACTTTTCTTGTTATGTGTCAGACAGGAAGCTTCTTGCTCTCCATCGCTTTGCTTTCAGCCGCCACTTAAAATCCCAATACTTTGATCTTGCTTTGATCTACAAAAACGCATGACAACTGCGCTTCCCCTCCCGTGCTGGTTTAGTGGTGACCATGCCTGGATCGGATAATGCCGACCGCCTATGTCAATGTCCCTTTTCGTGAAAATCCCTGTACCCACGACCCCCACCAGTCACGCTTTTATTGTGACTGTAGCATTATGATCGTGCTTAACCCACAAGTTTGGAATAAACATTATTAATATTATTATTCCGAGTGAAGGTAGGCCCGACCTACTCTCCTCCAGCGTCGGCCGCCATTGGAGTTCACCATGGCTCCATTTTGAGACCTCTACGGTTTCTGCTATACGTAAACGACCTTGCAAGTATTTTTGCGACTCCATGTCTACTCTGGGAGAATCAATCGAAATCCTTAAGTTCTAATTCCAGTGCCCTCCAAGTGGATGCAGACACTGCGATGCAGTGGTCGATGGGCTGGCACCTTCCTCTGAATGAAAAAAATTGCGTCCGTATGTCGTTTGGAGTGGACTCGAAGGACGCCTTTTCGTACATAATGAGAATGGACCAGAAGACATTAGGAGGATGAATACTAATAAGGATATAGTTATCTAGCTCACTTCAAACATAAACTTCTCACGTTAATGTGGGCCCATTATACGCAAAATGCTATCAGCTGCAGAAGATTCACAAAATGAGTAAATAATTTGGCACCAAAGTGTTGCATTTTGCTGCATGTGTGCTCAAACCCAAGAGCATTCTAATCTACTTTCATATTTTTGCCGCACAACGAAATTCACTGTTCTCCAAAACAATCATACCTGCGGCTGAAGTCTTTTGTGATAATTTCTTAGCATCGTTGACACCCCGGGATGCCTAAATGAGGGTTAAATGTTTGGGATAGTACTCCTAACTTAATTGCCAGATTGCTTTAGCCCATCCCGGCACGTCATAGCTTTCGAAAATCCAATTCTACTGTGCGAATACTAAGCGCGGCTCAAATGTCATTCGCCGTTCTACAGATGAATCCGCGCGCCTCCCTGTATTACTCACATGGACTTCCAGATGATATATGGGGCCTACGTTAGACCTTTTCTCAAATACACCGACCGAGTTGTTTACCAAGGATGCAAGAAAAAAGCAACCCTTTTTGGGATGTTCAACAATCCACTACGAAACTGGCTACAGTCCTTATGTTATGAAGCGCGCTTTGTGATACCTGCGCTTTCCTCTGGAGTGCCTACTTATCCAAGGGTGCCTCATAACTAATTACGCCACGTTTAAGCAAAAATTGGTCGGCAAGTTTGTCACCTCTGACTCAATAAACACACGGACGGGACATGTTAAGGAAATTTGTGACCACAGGTCTCACACTTATATTACGCGACAATATTTCTCAGTTTGGGTAGTCAGTGCATGGAATAACCTTCCCGGGACTGTTGTTCACGCTGCATCCAGCACCCGGTTTAAAATACTTTTAGACGCTTCGCCGTGTAAATCCTCTCATTGGCTATCTTACTGCCTTACACTGAGAAGATAATGAGCCATGTAACGCTAAACGCCATGAACGCTAAACGGCAAGAACAAACCCCACATAGAAAGCTTGAGCGAAAGCCTCGATCTCATGTATCAATGTGTGAATCCGTAAAACTGCTGATTTTGGCCGTTTGGCTAACGTACTAAGCATTTGTGTAGCCTTAGTCAGCGGTGTGCATAACTATGGACCCGGTAGTTCCGATAAGGGCAAGTAACAACGCGCACAGTTATCATAATGGAGAGTAATCATTGGTTCAGGCAATGCCGTTACGCTTTATGACGAAACTGAATTCAGTAATGTTACGTTAGTTGTTCACATGCAGAAATCTTGAAGTGGTTCACGATCTCCTGACTATTTTCGCCTAACTGACAGGGGCGATCATTCACAAAAGTGCATACTCACATCAGTATTGCACAGCGTATCATGTTATATTTGATTTTTATGCTGGACGTTGGGTGGCGTTCTAAACCATCAATGTTGTGCCGAAATTCGGTATAAAAGCTCACCAAATTTGCTATGTTTGACGAGTGTAACGGATCCACCTGCATGGAATTTACATTGAAAATTTAGTAAATAATACCTCTCATTTTAAGACTGCTGTGTACCGGTAAAATATGCTACGATGCTACTTCGTACTTTATCTTGTAAACTGGTAACCCCACTCAAATCAGCGGTGGTTATCGACCCTGAAAGTTCGCGTACTCAAACAAAACCCAAGAGCAGCATATCATTAAAACTTGCATTTAGAATAGACTAACCTCCCGTAAAGTGATCAGCTTTGAGAGCCAAATAGACTCGCTGAAAGTAATTTCGTTTTGCCTCTAGCGATATACGTCACTCGATGGCGCCAATATTATTGCGGCTCAGCAAGGTGCCATAGCGGCTAATGATTTTCTCGCCTGGGTCCAGCTGCTGCTGACGCGTGCGCCATAGTCGCTGAGCTCTCCACTAGGCCAAAGTTACCACACTAAATCTTAATGGGAAAAATAGAGACCTGGCTCACACCAGATCTCTCTGACTCGGAGATCTCGATAGAGGGTTACACCATTTTCCGCACTGACTCAAAACGAGGGAGGAATGGTGGGGTTGCTCTGTACTTACATTCGGCCCTACCAGTCCCGATTGTCCTCTCTGATACCACCCTGGCATACTTTTGCGATGCACTGTGGGTCCAAATCCCGCTGCGCGGGTCCGATTCTCTCCTTCTCGGCGTGGTCTACCGTAGCCCTTCGATTCCTCATACAAACCCTTGAGAAACACTTCTTCAACAACCACTTCACTCATCTCCTCCCGGCAGGTGACTTCAACGTCCCAAAGGCCTCCTGGATTGAGATATAGCGCGTCGAATCAGGCGGACTTTTCACAGCGGCGGTGTTTGAAGTCGTTCAACAGAGTGCTCGGACCCAACATGTCGTTACACCCACCAGATACTGCGCTGGCCAGCTGCCATCCCTCTTGGATTTGGTCATCACCAACGAAAGACACTTCGTTGATCAGGTATTAATTAACGTCCCACTGGGACATAGCGACCACTGTGTGCTGACCTTTGATTTCATCTGCTATTGGGCCAGGAATCCCAAACGTGAAACGTAGTTTCGAGACTTCTGCAGTGCAGACTTCTCAGGAGTGCGCATCTTCCTTGAACAAGTCACACTGAGACCAGCTCCGGTGGAAGAACTATATAGGACCATTGTCCAGAAAGTTCACGAGGCTGACGCGACGTTCGTCCCAAGGAAACCGGCCCGCAATCGGAGGATGCCTAAAAGGATCCGGCGACTTCTGGAAAAAAGATCCCAACTCTTTTTCAAAAAGTTGACCACAGGGGATACAGAAGATGAGCTGGCATTTCGTAAAATGCGGAACCGCTGTAAATCGGAAATCCGCCAATGGAACAATGGAAAACAAGCCACCATTCTGGACCTCACTCGAAAAAACAAAAAACGTTCTGTTCAAGTACATGAGACATCGCCGCAGAAACAAGCCATCCGCGTTCTCCTTGAGGGACGGAAACGGAGAACCGACAAATGACCCAACAGTGGTATCTGAGGCTTACAGAGAACACTATG